AAAGAAAGAAAGAAAGAAAGAAAGAAAGAAAGAAAGAAAGAAAGAAAAAGAAATCCATAAAAAAATTTAAAAATTTCTTCATTCCATCAGCGTCACTATTAAGGATTTCAGAGATTGAATTCCTGGAGGGAAAAACGCTTCAAAGACAGTCCTCGATATACAACCATTTATTTAGTGACTATTTAACATTACAACGGTACTTAAAATGTGACATGGGACTGTTTTTTGCCCTCACAACCGTTGCAGCGTCCCCATGGCCACGTGGTCAAACTTCAAGCGTTTGGCAGCCGGTGTGTATCCATGAGGGTTGCGTCATCTCGGAGTTACGTGGTCACCGTATCCGGCCAGTGGCCAACAGATAAAATCAGATTCGCTTAATGACCGTAGGAGTCACTGAACAACTGCAGCGATTCACGACACAATGACGCTCCCCCCACAAAAAAAATGTTGTAAAAATGGGGCACGAGGCACATAACAACTGCCTTGCTTAGCAACGGAAATGTTGGGCTCAGTTGCGGTCGTAAACCGAGGACTACCTGTGGGAGGCTTAGGAATTGTGAAAAAGGAGGTGCAGACGAAACTACAACCAAAAGAAAAACGGCAGGCACTGGACAAAACCAGGGTGGTTGTGCCAGAGGGAAAGGACCAAAGGACAAGCAATGGAAGAGAAGTCGTCTCTTGTGGGAAACTCATCCCTGGAAGCTTTGAAAAAGAGACTGGACTCCCATCTGTCAGGAATGGTGTAGGGTCTCCTGCTTGGGCAGGGGGGTTGTACTAGATGACCTACAAGGCCCCTTCCAACTCTGTTCATCTGTAGTCTGCACTTCTATCACTGTCTGGTTTGGTTCTGCAACCCAACAGGACAGACACAGACTCCAGAGAGGAATTAGGACTGCAGAAAAAACAATGGCTACCCACCTGCCTTCAATCAAGGACTTGTATACTGCACGAGTCAAAAAGAGGCCTATGAAAATATTTACAGACCCCTCACATCCCGGACATAAACTGTTTCAGCTCCCACCTTCTAGACTCTTGACGAATGTCTCTTTTCTTTTATGTACACTGAGAGCATTTGCACCAAGACAAATTCCTTGTGTTCCAATCACACTTGGCCAATAAAGAATTCTATTCTATTCTATTCTATTCTATTCTATTCTATTCTATTCTAT